ATTCTCAAAGAAGCCCCCCCTCGAGGAAGTCATTTGCAATCTGCTCCCGGTCCTCCTTCACGCCGATCATCCACTCCAAAACCGCCTCAGCACTCCTCTCCTTCGCAGCCTGCTTTGTGAACACCCCCGAAAACGCGCCGAGCCCCACAGGCGGTAGATGATGGCCGCCAAAATCGGCCGTCACTGACCAGGTGTTCCTACTGCCGACGTCAGCGATACAGTCGTAGCGCGGCTGCGGGAGCTTGAGGACCCGAGCAAGCTCCGCGACCTGGCCTGCTACCGGCCGTGGTTCGCTTCGTCGCACAGAGTCGCCAGGCGTGAGTATGCTTGGGGGCGGGTTGCTGTCGGCCTGGAACAGAGAACGCGGTTGAATCGCATCGCCGCTGAAGGGCGCCATGGAGAGGCCGGGGATGACACTGGTTGGCGGCATATTCTGTCGAGGTACGTCCCCGTCCTGGAAGCCTTGCCGTTTGGTGGGACGCGTTGCCTCTGTCTGGGTAGACGGTGCCGCTGTCGGAGACGGTGCTGCCGCTGCAGCGGTAGGTTTTTCGCTTGGATGGCACAATCAGCTTGAAGACAGCTTGGGAAATATCCATCCTGTTGTTCGATATCAGGTACTCGCAAACTGAACGGGCAGCGTACTGCTTCGCATCCTGCAAGCTCGTCAGCGTCGAGACTGGTGCTCGTTTTTTGCGACAACGGATAACTGACCTGCTTGCGTGCGAACACTGGCCCTGCCCCGTCGGCCGCAGCCCCGTAGCCATCACGAGGAAACGGACCTTCACCATTGGGCAGCTCGGTGAAGCATCTCCATTTCAAATCTGTGCCTTTGCCAACTGGGTTCGGAAGGTGGACGGGTTCATCGGTGAATTTGATATCAGATGTGAGATGGTGGACCTGAAGGTAGTCTAGTCTGGGATCAGCACGAGCTCCAGGTAACAGATATGGGCATGATCGGATTTCGAGTGACGCACGTAGCAAAGTAGATACCCAGTTGATGTCATCCGTGGCTTCCTCTGGAGATGCTTGAGGGGGTGGGACTAAGGTATGAATTGCGGCCCTTTGAGCATTAGTGAGAGGCGCCGCGGTGCCGAAGTTGCGCTCATAACCCTCCTTCTCAGAGATGAATTTCTTAAGACCTTCCCAGTCAATATCGTACGGAGCCATGGCGCAGACGTTGTCGAGGCGCGGCCTTTGTTGGACTTGAGGTCACTAACGTCGGTATGGAGTCGTCGAGCGGGGTTCGAATATGGAAAGGCTGCAGAACCTATGAAAAGGCCAGGTTGGCCGGACGCTCACCATCACCACCCAGCTTGCCAATCGCAATGAAAAAGCAATTTGGTAGATTATTTTGTTTTTTTTTGTTTTGTTGTTTTTTTGATTGGATGAACAAGGAGTAAAAAGTTGTATGCGGCTTGAATATAGCATCGCGAACACTGTGTACACGCAAGAAGACCTGCCGTCCCAGGGTACGATGGGGTGTATGTCTCTCCTTGGAACGCCGTAAAATGGACATGAAGAATAACGCCTGAAATCGGGGTCCCTTTCCTATAGCCACAGATGTCGCGAGGCCGGATGTGGGTATCAAAGACAGAAAACGGGCGACCAACACGAGTACGCCTCTTCTCTGTTCGTAGAATCAGCATCACTCAAAGAAGCCCTCCCCGTCATCCTCTTCCTCTTCACCCGCATCAATCTCCCAGTTGCCTGTCCTCTTGACCTCCTTCTTGTTCGGCTTCTCCTTCGCATGATGCTTCCTATCCTGTGCCTCCTTGGCCTTTTCGGCAGGCGCAGGCCTGAAACTCGTCTCGGGCATGGCCTTCGCTGGAAGGCCGACTGCGTCTCGCCTGTCGCGAAGCTTCTCCAACGCCGAAGGACCCTCTTCCATGAGCTTCTCAATGACATGCCACATCGGAGGCTTGTCTTCCGGGTTCTCGCTGAAGACTGGTTTCGGTACCCCAGGAGCCCTAGCGTTTTCGGATTCCGTCGCTTTCGCATCGCCGTCTTCCCTGGTCTTCGGCCACAGGCTGATGTAGGGCTCAAGGTGTGGGAAGTATTGCGTGTATGCAATGTCGACTTCGGACATGTGAACATCTGCCTCCAGCTTTGCCTTCTTCTCAGGATCCTCCACCTCTTTCAGGGCTCGTTGAAACTTCTTCAGCCGGCGCGTAGCCTTTTGGCGTTCTGAAGGAGGCAGATATCAGCAAGTCAATTCACACAAAGCTTTGTGCTGACTGCCTCGACTTACCAAAGAATCGAACCATGTGGTATCTCCCGATCATGTCGCTCCGCATCTTCCTGACCTTGTCCTCCCCCTTCTGGTTTTGCAAACTTTGGATCTCCTGCTCGAGATCATGGCGAATGGTCGCTGGCATATTCGAGTTGCGCTGCAATTGCCTCTTGATATCTCTGATACGCTTCTGCTTCCACTTCTTGCTGACTTGCGGGCGCCCATCGCTGTTGCTGGGCTTGAACTTCTTGTTGGAATGTCTAGGGCCAGTCGAGGGTCCTTCTTCGGGAGCGCCGTCCTCGAGCTGTTCGGAAAAAGATCGCTTGCTCATGGTGAAACGCAGAAAATTGTGTGTGTATGAAAGATGCCTCGAGGACACAATGTTGGATATGCGCTGGCGACAGTGTCGGGTTTTGCGAGGTCACGTCTTGCTGGTGATTCTGTCGATCAACCAGAGGTGCAACTTCAAAAATTTGGGGCCGAGTCTGTTTTCTTATCGGTTGGTTACTTATCGCAGTGCCACCCCTTGTTGACCTTGACCCCGCGAGCGACCGGTTTAGGCCTAGCGCGACCGACTGCCAGACAGCTGTCGGTGCTGGAGCTCGACTACGAGAGCTTCTTGCCATGCATGTACTTGACCTGCTTTGGACGCCTCATTCGTTTACAGTTGCAAACCCTCTCTTCTTCTTTGGTATATGCATGGTCCCTCACAGAGGTGATCCAACGGATGTCTTGACTCGTCATCACCGTATAATTGGCGCCCAAGCGCTATTCGAGCCAGCGCATTGCAACACTTCTCATCACAACCCTGGCTCGGACTCACAACACACTTCATCTGACCCATAGTCTCGAGACGGCCCTAGCCGTACATACTCGCCGACATGGACCGCCCCGAGCCCGGGCTGATCAAATGGTCGCCTCTTGCTGGTCATAACAGGTTCATCCATATCAATCTGCAGCACCGCGTGGTTCAGCTTTATGAACCTAACGGCGTCGCCCAGCACGGCAGATTCGACTACAAGCAAATATCCAAGCATGACGACTTTCCGGCTTTGACGACGTATGACTGGTCGCCAAGCTTCCCCGGCCTCCTCGCAGTAGGCGGCCAAAATGGCGGTGTCAACCTGCTCAGGATGGACGACAACTCCAGTGACTACATCGAGCTCGGCCTCAAAATGACCAGGATGTGCCAGGCCGTCGCTTTCAACACGCAAGGCATTCTTGCTGTAGGTCTCGAGCGGGTGCGCATGGACCAGAGTCTTCATATCTGGGATCTGAACCGACTTTCCATGGACAAAGTCGCCAAGGGCTTCGCGAAGGACATGGCTCCCTTTACTGAACCGGTCACACGACTGGAGCATAGCGCCTCAATATCGAGTATCAAGTTCTTCGAAGACAACCCCCAGACTCTCGTCATCGGTCTTAAATCCCAGGGACTACGCGTCTATGATCTACGAGATCCAAGCACAGCGAAGCTACAGTTCTCCACGCGGTGCAACAACAACTTGGCCATCGACCCAGATCCGAACTACTTTGCGTCTTCCGCACTCGACCAGCCCGGCGTTCTCGTGTGGGATCGGCGAGCTACCAGCCGTGCTGTCGCATCTCCTGCCTACTTGAGTGCCGTTGACGAGGAAGAAGTCTCCTGGGGCGCTGCCCTATCACTCCAGAACGCTGTCGAGACGGACGAACCGTCACTCGGGGACAGCAAACATTCCTTAGTCCGCTCATTACGCTACTGCCGCGACCACAGAGGGCTCTTGGGCGTTCTCACACGCACCGGTCAGCTCAAGGTTCTTCAGACCAACAGGGAACACACGTCAGCAGAGATGGAATTGGCTGGGAGCCCGGAGCTCATGCAAGTTAAGAAGTCATACGAGATGGATGTCAACTTCTCCGACCCCAACGGCAAGAATGATCGAATCGTATCATTTGACTGGGTGACTCTGGGTTCCAACCCTCTCCAGCCCCGTGTATTGGTCCTTCGCGCCAACGGGGCCATGGAAATACTCGAACAGCCATCACACGCATCCGACCATTTGTATAAACTCTCATCTTGGAAATCGCCTCATCGGGGCCTGGAAGGTTTGAAAGTCTCCAATTCCGGTGACATGGCTCAGTGCTGACCTGACCTGATCGCAGATGGCGCGGGCTACCAAAGCCTCCTCAATTTTGAGCCTTCGCAATGCGCTGACATGTACGGGCCGCTGCTACTAGAACAAGCCCTTTCCGACGTGCCTCTCTTCGGGAAAAAGAAAGCAAACATTCCGGCCGTCATTGAGAAGACGCTGCGATCCAACCCGTCGGCGTCAGATGTCAAGACTGAGCGACCCTCTCACTTAAGCATCTATCCGGAGACTCTACTTGGCCACTCTATATCTGCAAGCTTACGGACCATGCGAGATGTGGCTGGGCAGAAGGCATTGCAGCAAAAGCAGGGCAGTGTGACGAATGATCATGCCGCCGAAAATGCGCGTAGGCGAAGTGGCCGGATAGATTGCAGACTGTCGGTTTC